ACGCGCAACGGATAACATATGAAGAGGTCTTTCGAATAAACACTCTTCGTCACGCATCGACTTCAAAACGACGTGATTCCTTGCCTTTGGTAAAAGACATGCTTAATCTTTTCAAGTCGCGAGTTATGGTCGAGACTCGAGGCATGTTGATATGACACTGATTAGGATCTGACTTAGGTCGCTGAACCTATCAGAAAAAAACCACATCATGTCACTAGTGTAGTTCTTAGGGATCCATACAACTCGAACGACTCGATCAAGTGTCATCCGGGACAAGCTGAGTCGAGGCATAATCATGAAGTTCTCAAGGTTCAATCCTTAAACCTTAAAAACTGGGGGGGCTTCTGTTATGCACGAAAAATCAGGGTTGACGTGAGCCCAAATCAGTAAGGACCAATCAGAATTCATGAAGGTTTTCTGCCATCTAGATGCAGCCATGTCCCGCAAGGACGAAAGGGGTAAGGCCATCGTCAATGAGACAGGTGAACGTTAGACTTATGAGTGGCTAGGAATTGTCCACCTGTTGAAGCCCTACGCGATTTAAGGATATCTCTCGTGCAGACAACCAATGGAAAGCGGGTTAGGAATTGTACCATACCTGCCTACACGCAGAATCATGATTACCAGCTTGAATCCTCTAACTATAAATAGAGGGTCCTCCTCTATTTTACGGGATTCGCTCATCCACCGCTCAAAACATATACTCTCTCTCTCTCTCTCTCTCTCTCTCTCTCTCTCTCTCTCTCTCTCTCCACATTTATTTTCTCTATTGTAATCCAGCTCGCCGAGTGCGGCCTGATTGTAATCACCCATTAATATAATCACAATAGATGTAGGATTCGCCTTAGAGTATCCGAACCACTTTAAAAAGTGTTATTTGTTCAATATCTCTTTTAATACTTCCATACATGTGTGATTTTTAAGTTCGTTTAGCACTTCACACGCGTAAATAATTTGTGTCAAAATCAAGCATCAATATATATATATATATATATCCGTTTGGTTCACTTTTTTACGCTTTTTAGAAAAGTTTTGTGAAAAAAGTTAAAAAAAGTTGAATTAGACGGGTATTACGATGTAGGATTTGAAAACTAATAAAAATACCCCCTATATTTATTTATTTATTAAACACCCCTATAATAAAACATTAAAAGTTAACAAAAACACCCCCAACCCATCCAAAAAATATGGACAGCCGGCCACCACCGTCGGAGGGTGGCTGGAGTGGCCGTATCGGTGCATGACAGGCTGGATCTTGCCGGTCTTGCGCCGATATGGCCTTTTCTGGACAGATCCACGGTGGATTTGGCCGGAAAAGGCCAGATCTACGGCTAGATCTGGCCATTGACAGCCAGATCTTGCCGTATTTGCTCGTCAACGATGGCCAACATATGGTCATCGTTGATGGTCAACGACGACCATATGTTGGCCATCGTTGACGATTGGCTACGGCCAAAGATCTGGCCGTCAACGACCAGATCTTTGGCCTTAGATCTGGTCTTTTCCGACCAGATCCACCGTGGATCTGGCCGGAAAAGGCTAGATCGGTGCACTACCGGCCAGATTCAGTCGGTAGTGCGTCGTTATACCAGATTCCGGCTATCTTTTGGTAGTGGTGGCCGGAATCTGGTAAACGTGGGTTGTTGGGATGCTTTTGTAATTTCTAAAAAAATTATTTAGGAGTATTTAATTAAATTAATAAATTTAAAGGGTTTAAAAAAAGTTAAATAATATTATGAGTTTTTGTAATTTTACTGTTTAATTTTATTGGGAATACTAATAATAGTATTCCCAAAAGGGAACCAAAGGAGCCTATATAATTTACCCTTTTCAGCAAGTGTTAGAAAGATGAATAGTTGACCTCTAAAGTTTTAATTTTTCTGAATTCCAAATGATTTTGTTTCTTTTAATCTGCTGCAAGTTGTAGCTTTCAGATTCAGACTACATCTAAACCATGCTAAAACTAAAACTCAGTAAGTTAGGTAGAGCAAATCCTATTCTTAAATCAATTAAAAAATTCGCTCATAAATTGGATAGAATTATTCTGTGAAGATTTGTCTAAAATTAGTAGTTTAATGACATGATTAGTCATATTTATGTAGATTTCTCATCACAAATCTATTGATTATACTACTTCAACAAGTGGTTAGAGTTAAATCTCTTACCATCGGTGCGTTAATTGAACTCCTAATTATCATGTAAAGGAGCATAAAGTTGACAAATGAGTATCTTAATTAAGATAATTACATCTGGGGGCGATAATTTAATTAAATTATTGCCTTTGTGGAAATTAAAGCTAACATCTTTAGCTGGAACAAGAAACTGAGAAGTGCATTCTGACATTAAAAGAATTTGCCATATCTGAATTGATTGGTGAATGGAAAGGCCGGCACTTACCCATCATCAAAGAAAATGCCATATTAATGGAGTCCAAGTTTTCGGGATTCGCAAATAATTTCCCTTTAAAAACTAAAAAAAGTGCAACTCAAACAAAAGATTTGGATTAGTTCACTGAGCACACAAATATTATATCATATTTCAGAGACTGAACAGATCAAGGTAAAATTTAAAGTAAATTTGTTTTTTTTTTTTTTTTTGCAGAGCAGTCCTTTTGTGGCGGCTGGGGTTGTCTCATAAAACTGTCAATGTATGACTCCTTGAAAGCAAGAGAATTTGGAAAAAAAAGGTAAGAAAGATGGCAACTTAAAGGAAAAGAGTTTATTTCAATTTCTTCCCTGTGAATAGCGTAACAATCACCATATTCAACAGGTTGGTGTGGTGGTTGATTACTTGATTTGTAAAACTTGTGAACTCAAATACTTTGATTAACTTGCACAAAAAATTGACAAGTTAAATTGGTGTGGTGGTTGATTACTTGATTTGTAATAAACTTGTGAAACTCAATACTTTGCACAAAAATTGACAGTTCAAATTTAACTTGTATATTCTTTACAAAATCAGAGCAAGTATAAGAAGCAAAGCAACTTGAGGATGAGGATGAAGATGGTGATATTTAAAATAAATTGAATATAATTTTGTTTTTGAAGTTTCAAACTTATCACTTTGTCTTGACATCATCAACCTCAAGGTCTTTGTCCTGTACTTTTGTCTACATCTGAATTTTCATCCACATTTTCGCCCAAGTCTCCAAGACACAACTAAGAATCCTGTACAATAAAATAATAGCAGAACCAACCCATTCCTAGAAGAAGAGATTGCTAATCCCATTCTCATATCTTAAGATATTATTTTAGGGTTATTCTGTTTATGTATTTATAGCAACAAGTAAATTAGTTTTTGTTGGTCTCCATTCCAGTAATGGAGTTATATGACAACGCTATATGTGGTTGTTTTAGTCCTATTCCCTCCTCTGTTTTACTTATAAATACATGATCAACTCGCTCAACTCAAAACACGTTGTACAGACACCCAGAAAGAATTGAAGCGTAGTTTGAGGATCTCTCTCGTTTTCTTGCTCCATCATTTTCACCATTTTCTCGCCTATCTTTTCTCTCCCCTCCAAACCCATACATTTTCTCTCCTTTTCCCTCCCTTTCTCTCCATCCAAACATTGACCTTTCATCAACTTTAAACTCACCTGCACCTTTTCAATCTTCTTTATTCACTAAACCAATCGCCGCCATCGGACGCAAAACTCAAGATAACAAACATCCAAACAAAACGACCGTCCGCCTCGGAAACCGTTTCAACGACGAATTAGACTTCAACTCTGCCTCGGAATTCAGGTCTTTAACGGAACCGATTGACCGGGTAAAACGGTTGCTGGATTACGCAGCGGTTCTGCCTGCGTTGGATGAATCGGCACGTGTGCAAGAGAACAGTGACGGGTGCACCACGCAGGTTTGGTTGGATGTTGTAATGGACGAGAAAGGGAAGATGAGATTTAGAGCTGATAGTGATTCCGAGATAAGCAAGGGTTCTGTTCGTGTTTGATAATGGTTCTTGATGGGTCGGAGCCGGGAGTGTTGGGCGTTAGACGGAGGATTTAACGGAGATGAACGTAGGGGTTCTGGTAAGGCCGTGTCCAAGTCACACGTGGCATAATGTGTTGATTGTGATGCAGAAGAGGACTCGGTTTCTGGTTACGGAGCAAAAGCAGGGACTTAACTGGCTGTTCGTCTCGGTAATGGCCTGGGTGATCATTATTCATGTGATGGTTATATTTTATTTTCTTTATGTTTTAGTTCAAATGTGGAAATTAGTAATGATAAAATGTATAAAATAATACCTTACACCAGTTCTGGTTCTGAAGAAAGTGAAGGGAAAATTGAGAGTGAGATGGGTGTCTGAAGAGAAAAGTAATGGTGGCGGTGCCATATGATGTGTAAATCTCTGACCTCGTGATTGAAGAGACAGAATTCTCATTTGATGAGTTGCAATTAGATATAGAAATGTATATAATGTTTTAACTCATGATCTTACATAAATTTGATCCCTATCAGGATTTAAATTTTTAGATTCTCCATTGTATTCACTTCAATCTTCTTGATAAATTCATTAGATTCACTTTGAGAACCACCTACTTATTGAAGAAAATGTTCAGCCTGCGGAGCTGTTTGATTCATTCTGATACTCCCCTTGGAACACCAATAATCACCGACGAGCTTATAGGTTACATTAAAAAATCAGGAGCTCCTTTTTATTGGAAACCAGATTATATTGAACAACCTTCTGTTCTCACAGTCAGGTTCTGAGAAAAGCATTTGCAGATGGAAAATTGATTAACAGATAGATCAGTCTATAATCCGCCATCCAGCGTTCAGTGGAAGACCAGTTCACATAACATGATAACAAGGTTGGTTGGACTTAGGTCAACTTTCAAATTGTGGATGCCGTTTTCCCCATGATAAAGTGCTGTTTGTATGAAAGAAAAGTATATTTGAAAGTGCTGCACTGATCCATATTGAAGTTGAACTTTTGTTCCTGAATTAACCACAACGATACCTACTCTGTTGATGAATGCTGGAAATACTTATTTGATAACATCCTTTTTGTAATTATGGAATTAAATAACACACACCATGTCCTGTTTAGTGCTTAGGATGCAGTATCATCATTTTAGTTGCATCAGCCATCAGGAATTCAGGATATGGCTGATTAGGTAAAATATAGAATACTAAAAGTTAAGACAGCATTTCACCCATTTCAGAAAGCATGGCAGGCGAGCATTTATGATGAATTCAACTGTTTTTTTAACATCAATCTATAGATATATTTTGTTCTTCTTATAAGAACAAGTCCAATGCATTTATGTTTGCACCACACTACAATCTTCCTACCCCTTTCTCTCAATTCTTTGAAAAGCCCTTGGCTTTTCTTTTCTCTATCAAGAAAAATCCAAACAAAGACGCTACAGAAAAAGCAGAGAAGCATACAGAAGCAATCTCAAGGGACAAATGACGCCCACTGATACCTCGGATTTCAAACAGGCCACTTTTCTTCTTTACATCAGTAGTTTGACCAAATGCAACGTCTTCACCCGCCGAGTTGTAGGCATAAACTCTCACAAAGTAAGTTGCTTCAGGCACATCTTTCTCAATCATCCACTCATAAATATGATTTCTCACAGAAGCATCATAAGCCCTCTCAACAATGGTGAATTGGCAGGTCTTGTCCTTGCTCAAATTATCCACAGTTTTCCTCCAGCCGCGGTCCACTTGGCTCACAGGTGCATAACACAAACTCACCTTCACCCTCTTATACGATTCATCACTCGCCTGGACGCTCTGATTAAAACCCCAACTCACAGTAATCCTGTCCTCACCCGCTCTCAATACTGCAAAAGACGAAATTTTTTGATTCAGTATGTACATGCTAATCGCCGAGAATACTAATTAATGGAAGTTTTAACATGATTATTACCTTGTCCTTGTTGGGGAGAAGCCGTGATTTCAAGAGTTCTTGGGAGAGAGGAGAAGAGCACGCCACCATAACAAGACTCTGCTGCTAAGCAGAGAAGTAGTAAAGCTACAAAGAGTCGTGATACCATCAATATTCTGAATGAGAACACCAGAGATTTGATTTCTTATGGATGGATTGAGGACCGGTGGATGTTAAATTGTATATATAGAGCCAAAGTTTTCACATTTTTCGGCTCCATAAGTCAAAAAAGCGTAGCCGAACAAACAGCCTTCAATGAATTGGAAGAGGTAGTCAGTAGCCAAGGGCCCAACGATCAGGTCCCCGCTTGCCCAATACCATAGCCAAGAGGTGACCTGGACTTTACAGCCCAAGAATGTTCATATTGGTTGACCGTATTTCAAAGTGAGGTGTTTGTTAATTTCGTCAAAATTCTTAAATACACCTCTCCAATTATAATGTGCCACGTTATCCTGTTTAAAATCCATTGCTAGAATTTTTTTTGTTGATGCTAGCATGATCTTCTCACAATAACTTTTTTTTTTGTTTAACCGAGTATTCGAGCCAATTTATACTTATTTCAACTAATTTCTAGAATTTATTGAATATTTTACATGCTTAAATGACCAGGTAAGTTTCAATGAAATGGGGTAAGCCTTCTTAACCGCTAGACCAACCCCTTAGGTGTAAATGTTATTTTAAATATTTTTATAGTTGATTAAATATTTTTTTTAAATATTTTCTTTAGATAAATAAAAAATTCTTTAAACAAAATAAATACTTAAACATTCTTTTCTTAAAAAATAATGTTAAGCATACAAATAAAGTATTTTCATATAAAATGATGTGAAGAAAATGAATGAAAGAGTGAATACAAAAAATCAAACTTATCATATTTATTCTTCTACCTATTTTCTTTCACATCACTTTATATAAAAAAATTTTAACTTTTCTCTCTATTAAGAATAGGCATGGTAACTTAGAACATACTAAATTATAAATCTTACAAATAATTAAATTGATATATTTTATTTCTACCAAAATAACAAAAATTATCTTTATAATTAATGATGAAACCAGCTAACTCCATGTTTGACCAATCCAAAGGGTTTAATCATTGGAGTGGCGTCTATGCTAATAGGGATTTCACTATATTTAACAACGGCATGTTCTACCCACATTCCCACACGCCCCCGCGCCTTTTTTTTTTATTTCACTAATTAAACCATCAATCTCTTCCTATTGTATCATTTTCTACTCAAAAGTCAAAACTAATTACTAATTTTATATAAAATAAAATAAAAAAAATAAAAAATACAATTTAAAAATACACAACTCTTCTATATTATTTTTATTATATCATATATATCAGAATCACATAAAATTTTATTTATTTTTAATTTTTAATAATATAATAAAATTTTTATCATTACAATATATATCACATCATGATATAATAAAAATAGATATAAAATATAATAAAAATAGATATAAAATAGTAGTATAAATATACAATAACACTACGGACACCGAAATATGTTCACCGAATTTTTGTACCGGCCTACGTAGAACGCGTCCCTCAGTTTTTTTATAATTTTTTTCTAGTGAACGGCCGTCCATCCAATTTGGACGGCCGTTCACTCACATGGACGCCCGTCCATGTTATATGGACGGGCGTCCAATTTGCACAAAAAATTGACAAGTTCAAATTTAACTTGTATATTCTTTACAAAATCAGAGCTAAAGTATAAGAAGCAAAGCAACTTGAGGATGAGGATGAAGATGGTGATATTTAAAATAAATTGAATATAATTTTGTTTTTGAAGTTTCAAATCTTATCACTTTGTCTTGACATCATCAACCTCAAGGTCTTTGTCCTGTGACTTTTGTCTACATCTGAATTTTCATTCCACAGTTTCGCCCAAGTCTCCAAGACACAATACTAGAGAAATCCTGTACAATAAAATAATAGCAGAACCAACCCAGATTCCTAGAAGAAGAGATTTGCTAATCCCATTCTCATATCTTAAGATATTATTTTAGGGTTATTCTGTTATTATGTATTTATAGCAACGAGTAAATTAGTTTTTGTTGGTCTCCATTCCAAGTAATGGAGTATATGACAACGCTATATGTGGTTGTTTTAGTCCTATTCCCTCCTCTGTTTTACTTATAAATACATGATCAACTCGCTCAACTCAAAACACGTTGATACAGACACCCAGAAAGAAGTGAAGCGTAGTTTGAGGATCTCTCTCGTTTTCTTGCTCCATCATTTTCACCATTTTCTCGCCTATCTTTTCTCTCCCCTCCAAACCCATACATTTTCTCTCCTTTTCCCTCCCTTTCTCTCCATCCAAACATGTACCATTCATCAACTTTAAACTCACCTGCACCTTTTCAATCTTCTTTATTCACTAAACCAATCGCCGCGCACCGGATGCCAAAACTCAAGATAACAAACATCCAAACAAAACGACCGTCTGCCTCGGAAACCGTTTCAACGACGAAATATAGACTTCAACTGCTGGCCTCGGAATTCAGCTCTTTAACGGAACCGATTGACCGGGTAAAACGGTTGCTGGATTACGCAGCGGTTCTGCCTGCGTTGGATGAATCGGCACGTGTGCAAGAGAACAGAGTGACGGGGTGCACCACGCAGGTTTGGTTGGATGTTGTAATGGACGAGAAAGGGAAGATGAGATTTAGAGCTGATAGTGATTCCGAGATAAGCAAGGGGTTCTGTTCGTGTTTGATAATGGTTCTTGATGGGTCGGAGCCGGAGGAGGTGTTGGGCGTTAAGACGGAGGATTTAACGGAGATGAACGTAGGGGTTCATGGTAAGGCCGTGTCCAGAGTCAACACGTGGCATAATGTGTTGATTGTGATGCAGAAGAGGACTCGGTTTCTGGTTACGGAGCAAAAGCAGGGAGCTTTAACTGGCTGTTCGTCTCGGTAATGGCCTGGGTGATCATTATTCATGTGATGGTTATATTTTATTTTCTTATATGTTTTAGTTCAAATGTGGAAATTAGTAATGATAAAATGTATAAGAAATAATACCTTACACCAGTTCTGGTTCTGAAGAAAGTGAAGGGAAAATTGAGAGTGAGATGGGTGTCTGAAGAGAAAAGTAATGGTGGCGGTGCCATATGATGTGTAAATCTCTGACCTCGTGATTGAAGAGACAGAATTCTCATTTGATGAGTTGCAATTAGATATAGAAATGTATATAATGTTTTAACTCATGATCTTACATAAATTTGATCCCTATCAGGATTTAAATTTTTAGATTCTCCATTGTATTCACTTCAATCTTCTTGATAAATTCATTAGATTCACTTTGAGAACCACCTACTTATTGAAGAAAATGTTCAGCCTGCGGAGCTGTTTGATTCATTCTGATACTCCCCTTGGAACACCAATAATCACCGACGAGCTTATAGGTTACATTAAAAAATCAGGAGCTCCTTTTTATTGGAAACCAGATTATATTGAACAACCTTCTGTTCTCACAGTCAGGTTCTGAGAAAAGCATTTGCAGATGGAAAATTGATTAACAGATAGATCAGTCTATAATCCGCCATCCAGCGTTCAGTGGAAGACCAGTTCACATAACATGATAACAAGGTTGGTTGGACTTAGGTCAACTTTCAAATTGTGGATGCCGTTTTCCCCATGATAAAGTGCTGTTTGTATGAAAGAAAAGTATATTTGAAAGTGCTGCACTGATCCATATTGAAGTTGAACTTTTGTTCCTGAATTAACCACAACGATACCTACTCTGTTGATGAATGCTGGAAATACTTATTTGATAACATCCTTTTTGTAATTATGGAATTAAATAACACACACCATGTCCTGTTTAGTGCTTAGGATGCAGTATCATCATTTTAGTTGCATCAGCCATCAGGAATTCAGGATATGGCTGATTAGGTAAAATATAGAATACTAAAAGTTAAGACAGCATTTCACCCATTTCAGAAAGCATGGCAGGCGAGCATTTATGATGAATTCAACTGTTTTTTTAACATCAATCTATAGATATATTTTGTTCTTCTTATAAGAACAAGTCCAATGCATTTATGTTTGCACCACACTACAATCTTCCTACCCCTTTCTCTCAATTCTTTGAAAAGCCCTTGGCTTTTCTTTTCTCTATCAAGAAAAATCCAAACAAAGACGCTACAGAAAAAGCAGAGAAGCATACAGAAGCAATCTCAAGGGACAAATGACGCCCACTGATACCTCGGATTTCAAACAGGCCACTTTTCTTCTTTACATCAGTAGTTTGACCAAATGCAACGTCTTCACCCGCCGAGTTGTAGGCATAAACTCTCACAAAGTAAGTTGCTTCAGGCACATCTTTCTCAATCATCCACTCATAAATATGATTTCTCACAGAAGCATCATAAGCCCTCTCAACAATGGTGAATTGGCAGGTCTTGTCCTTGCTCAAATTATCCACAGTTTTCCTCCAGCCGCGGTCCACTTGGCTCACAGGTGCATAACACAAACTCACCTTCACCCTCTTATACGATTCATCACTCGCCTGGACGCTCTGATTAAAACCCCAACTCACAGTAATCCTGTCCTCACCCGCTCTCAATACTGCAAAAGACGAAATTTTGTGATTCAGTATGTACATGCTAATCGCCGAGAATACTAATTAATGGACGTCTTAACATGATTATTACCTTGTCCTTGCTGGGGAGAAGCCGTGATTTTAAGAGTTCTTGGGAGAGAGGAGAAGAGCACGCCACCATAACAAGACTCTGCTGCTAAGCAGAGAAGTAGTAAAGCTACAAAGAGTCGTGATTCCATCAATATTCTGAATGAGAACACCAGAAATTTGACTTCTTATGGATGGATTGAGGACCGGTGGATGTTAAGTTGTATAAATAGAGCCAAAGTTTTCACATTTTTCGGCTCCATAAGTCAAAAAAGCGTAGCCGAACAAACAGCCTTCAATGAATTGGCAGAGGTAGTCAGTAGCCAAGGGCCCAAGGATCAGGTCCCCGCTTGCCCAATACCATAGCCAAGAGGTGACCTGGACTTTACAGCCCAAGAATGTTCATATTGGTTGACTGTAATTCAAAGTGAGGCGTTGGTTAATTTCGTCAAAATTCTGAAATACACGTCGCCAATTATAATGTGCCACGTTATCCTGTTTAAAATCCATTGCTAGAATTTCTTTTGTTGATGGTAGCATGATCATCTCACAATAACTTTTTTTTTTTTTTTTAACCGAGTATCCGAGCTAGTTTGCACGTATTTCAATTAATTTATAGGATTCATTGAATATCCTACAAACTTAAATGACCAGATAAGCTACAATGTTATTGTGTTAGGTGACTCTAAGATGTGAGTCTAAGAATACACCTCAACTAATCCCCATTGAATGTCTTATAAGTCCAAAGGACCAAGTAAGCTATAATATTATTATGGTAAGAGACCCCAGAGTTTGAACTCAAGAGCTCAAGAAATGAGGTAAACCTTTTTGACCACGAGACCTACCCGTTAGGGTTAAAATGTTATTTTAAATATTTTTATAGTTGATTAAATATTTTTTTAAATATTTACTTTAGATAAATAAAAAAATCTTTAAACAAATAAATACTTAAACATTATTTTCTTAAAAAATAATGTTAGACGTACAAATAAATCATTTTCATACAAAGTGATGTGAAGAAAATGAATGGAAAAGTAAATGCAAAAAGTCAAACTTATCATATTTACTCTTTTATCCATTTTCTTTCACATCACTTTATATAAATTTTTTTTTTAACTCTTAGTAATTTTTTTTTTAACTCTTCTCTCTACTAAGAATAGGCATGGTAACTTGAACATACTAAATTATAAATCTTACACATAATTAAATTGATATATTTTATTTCTACCAAAATAACAAACATTATCTTTATAATTAATCATGAAACCAGCTAATTCCATGTTTGACCAATCCAAAGGGTTTAATCATTGGAGTGGAGTCTATGCTAATAGGGATTTCACTATATTTAACAACGGCATATTCTACCCACATTCCCTTTTTTTTTTTTTTTTTTTTTTTATTTCACTAATTAAACCATCAATCTCTTCCTATTATATCATTTTCTACTCAAAAGTCAAAACTAATTACTAATTTTATATTAAAAAAAATAGAATAAAAAACACAATTTAAAAACATATGAGCTGAAATTTTAGAAGAAGATGAGTACATAAAATCATTTAAAAATTTACAGTTAATATATCACATTGTGAAAAACTGATCATCATCATCAAAATACTACCCAAACAACATCGACAAGACAGATTCCAAGAGCATCCTGACCGTCTGATGACAACCAGTAGTGACACAAAATGAGGGCCCACACACATAGCCCAACATCCCATTCGACAGGGAGAAGCTACCATCTTCCTCTTATTGCACCGTGTCATCCACTCACTTATAATGCGCGTGATACACGACACGTTACAACCCTTCCTCACACACCGCCCCCCGCTTTGCCTATCTAAAAAAATCGCAATACCTTTGTATAACTCCACTTATGGCTTATTTCGCCAACAAATTAAATTTGAAATAATTTTTAAAAAAAAATTCTATTCAAAAACAAACTCTCCCACAACAACCACCGTAAATCATCTTCGCATGTTCTTGGAGCTCCGGCTCCATTGACGGAGCCCCAGCTCGGAATTACCGTACTATTTATTATAATTTTTTCAATCAGATCTCCTCATTTTCGTTTCAGATCGTGAAATGTCCAAAACCTGGGGTAAAATCGGCGCTTGGGCCGCCGAGGCCGAGCAAGCCGAAGCCGAAGAACGTGAAGCAGCTGCAGCCAAGGACGCAGCCGAAGCCGCGTCGCCGAGCTTCCCTAGTTTGAAAGAAGCCGTAAGCGCGAAGCCCAAGAAGAAGAAAATGACTCTCTCGGAATTCAATATGGGCGGCTATCCTGCCACAGGCGGTGGAGCCACTGATCACGCCTATAGCCGTTTGACCCCGGACGAGATGCTCCGCCTACCAACGGGTCCCAAGGAACGTTCACCCGAAGAAATGCAGCATGGTAGACTCGGCGGAGGCTTCTCGTCGTACGGACGGTCCTCACGACCGATGCGTGACCGCGACGATAGCTGGGGAGGTGGCAATAGACGATCGTACGGTGGATTTGAGGACGAGCAGCAGCAACGGAGAGGCCCGCCTTCTAGGGTTTCGGATTTCGAACAACCTTCAAGGGCCGATGAGGTTGATAATTGGGCAATGGCGAAGAAATCATTCCAATCCGTACCTTCCCAGGACCCCGGTCGTCCAAATCGCTACGGCGGTTTAGGTTCAGGAGGTGGAGGGTTCTCTCGAGCTGATGAGGTGGATAATTGGACGGCTGTAAAGAAACCCGTACAAACGAGATCATCTACATTTGGTTCTGGGTTTCGTGATTCAGGTCCTGAGCCTGATCGCTGGACTCGAGGGGGCGGCTTCCGGGATGAGCGGTCCAGATTGAATTTGGATCCACCAAAAGCGGATTTGGGGGTTAATGAACCAGTGGTGGTGAAGACGAATAAGCCAAATCCGTTTGGAGAAGCTAGGCCAAGGGAGCAGGTTTTGGCAGAGAAGGGACTCGATTGGAAGAAGATGGAAATGGAGATTGAGTCCAAGAAAGCGACCAGTAGTAGGCCCACTAGCTCACACTCGAGCAGGCCTTCGAGCGCCCAGTCGAGCAGGTCGGAGAGTCAGGGACCCCAAGGATTGGAGAGTGTTGGGAGGCCCAATAGACCGAAGGTGAATCCGTTTGGGGATGCTAAGCCTAGAGAAGTTTTGTTGGAGGAGCGGGGTCAAGATTGGCGTAAGATTGATCTTCATCTGGAGCATCGACGGATTGAGAGGTATTATAATTTATTTTATAAATATATAATTATTTTGGAAATTTATTGCAATTAACTGCATTGCTATTTTTTATCCATTGACGCTTTTGAATGCTTAGCATTAAATATCTTTGTCAGTGGAGATCGTTTGATTGCATTTTGGTTTTTATCTCCATTATTATTTGACCGTTTATTACTATAGAAGTGTGCACGAACAACAGCATTAACCTTTTGGAGCTGCTTTAATCGTGGCAGCAATGATTGTAACATGTGACTGTGAATGATTTTCCTAATGACCTTGATCTTTTGGTGAATTTCTTATATTAACTAATTACTAAGTATTACTGGCATTATTTATCGCGAATGTGATTTGAGCTGGTCCAACAGATCTTATCTAGAATAAGTTGTCGAAGACTGACTATTTAGATGGTATCTTCATGTTCTTTTAGGTAGCTCTTGTGTGCTGTACATCATACACATTTTACTCTGGCATATGCCTAATATACCAAAAAGATTTATTTATGACTTTTTCGTGCTAGAAAAATGCAATCAAAATCAATTCATGCCCTTGGAATATGCCATAAGCAAAGCAGGTCATGCTTTTGGATTTGTAATGTTGAAGTTGAACTGAATTGTGGAACATATCGGTGGTAGAATGTGTGTGCCCTCTCATGTGTGCCCTCTCTAGCTCTGTGAAGCTCTGTTCTTGAAACCAAGTTCCTCATAAACTACCCAAAATGTCATTCTAGTTATTGTTGTAGTTAAAAGTACTATTAATAATTATTACCAGATTGGCAGCATCTAAAGTAGTAAGTATAGCTGTGGACTTTTCTCTGTTTCCTTTGTGCCAATGCATTTGGAATAGTAATCGGCATTTTTTCAAATACAGAAAGCAGAAAGAATTTATGTAATGAATGTTCAGGAGGCTGATTTAGTTTTCTGGGAAATGGTTGCATATGACACTTCAAGCAAATGGTTAAAAAGTGCCCTGTAATTGATTAATTTTTTTTTTTTTTCAAATAAATCGCAGTATATTTTCTTATGTTTTTAAATGTACTATCGAGATCTTGGAACAAAAAAACAACCATATAGAGTGATGCTTTTGTTGTTGCACTGATATAGGACATATCTTGATTATAGTATTCAAAACATCACTTCAAAATAAATTATAAGTGCTACTAGTTGGGTGGTGCTTGTTTCTTTGTTGTAGAAATTACTTCTAATCTGTGTTTTCTTAGTATGCTGGGAGCAGAACTGAATTAAGGTTTCGCTAGTGTGGTTGCACTGATCAGGAGATATTTTTAAGAGAAGGATGTTTTGAAGAGAGGACTGCGTAACAAAGAAATGGTGTTTGCTGCATAAGAATTATCAATGATGTCTGAAGCATAAAGTGAGAATCTGTTCTCTTGTGTATTGTTGGAAATTCCTGGGATGGAATTTATGATTATGCTTTCTCTATTTTTCGTATGGTGCCATGTAAGGTTTAGAGCAGTGCTAGGGTTAATCTCTTATTCACTTGCTTGGTCACTCTCTCGCTTGTGTTAATGACATGTGTAAAAGTTTTATTCCCTAAGTTTGAGACCAAATGAGTTAATTAAAGTAGACTAAACTTTGCTCTAAATTACAAAACTTACCATCAAACAAAATATAATGTTTTAGTACAACATTAACACTGGTTCGGTTTTGCATATCACCCTGTATTTCCTCTACTACCTCCTTTGCAAGAATTAGCCCCTGTTGAAAGAACCATGGTCAAAGACACTGAAATCGGCATTTGAACCTCTGCACAAGTTGAGGCTTAGATGTAGAAACACACTTTTGAGGAAGAGAGAAACCTGTCTATTGTGAATATTATAGCAAGGGATTTATTTGAAGTTGAAGAATTGTGAGTGGAGTGAAAATGTTGTGGTGTTTGTTAAAATTTGGGTTAATGCTTGAATATATGCTCTTTTGATCAATTTTTGGGATTGAATAATTTATGAAAAATTTACAATTTTTATCTTTTATTAGGTAAAATCATCGTCTGTCCGAAAAAGAAAGATTTTTTTTTTTTTTTTTTTGGTGTATAGAAATCACAAAACTTTAAGAAAGAATTGTGGGATTATGAAAATATGGTTTGGTGCTTAATTATATGCTCTTTTTATAAATTTTTATTATCTGGGATTAAATAATTCATGATAACATTACTGATTTTGTTTTGTCAAATTAAACTGTGACCCAAACATATATATATATATATAATCGCAAAAATTTTCGGTACCTGCCAGTGGCTTGTCATGACGTATTAGCCAATTAGGTGATGATTTTTCCCTGAGCAGATATCTTCACCTAAGTGGCCTGTTATGACATATTAAATAAAAATTATTTGCTTACTATTTGCTCCAGAATAATAATAACAAATAAGAATGTGGTAAGATGATTGCTCTGCAGTCACACTGTCACTTGAGCTGCTTGTTTGCTGCACAGTGTGGAAATCAGCATGATCATACAGCAACTACCCAAATAGTGTTGTAGCGTGTACCTGGGTTACTTTGAACTGGGCAGAACTGCATGTAAACCCTTTCTTGGTCTCCTAATTGACTGTTCTTTGATTCATGAAACTGGATTTAGGACCCAATTATGAAGGAGTCTTAGATTTTGTTTCTATGTCCACATTCATTTTTAGATATTCATTTTTTGCTTGGGGTAATACTATTTATCTGTACGAAGCTCCTATCCCAAGTTTTAAACCTTGAAGGATGTGGCACTCATTCAAACATGGGACAGGGTAATACTATTTATCTGTACGAAGCTCCTATCCCAAGTTTTAAACCTTGAAGGATGTGGCACTCATTCAAACATGGGACACGAATGAAGCATTAAAGTTTTATTTATCACTTCATTTCCTATCCTTTTATTTCCTATCAAAAAGAATAAAATAAATGACATGGAAACCTACACGAGTGTTATATTATTTAGGATATAAAACTTTGGATAGATATTTTTATGTACGATTGCCTATATTTTTGAGTTACTTCAAGATCATTAAAACTTTCTCTTCTACTAGTCTTTTGCTTATGTATGATGCAATTAAGTTGCCTCCTGACAATTTCTTGACTGCTGTTCCCTAGAAGGTTTTGTCAGTTTATGCAACATAAGCTTTTATTGTGATCTCTACCATGGTGGCTTACTTTATAAGCTTGTCTTTCAGCATAGTTTTTTATTGTTGGAATGATTGTTATCTGTGCATTTGCCCATGCACATCATTGTTTTTCAATTTTGTTTGGTGGATCGACTGCTGATATGTGGCTTGCCAATCTCCCATGTGCTTGCTTGTCGTGTATTGAAACTGTAATGGAGACAAAAAAAAAAATTTGTTTCAGGCCTGAAACCGAGGAGGAAAAGCTATTGAAAGAAGAAATTGACCACTTGAAGAAGGAACTCAAGAAAGAATCTGCAATGAAATCAGACAGGGAATCCATGCAGGGGTCTGGTAGAGAGCAATCTGGTTTGCATAATATTATACTTCAGAAAGAGCAGGAATTGGAAATGCTTATCCGGGACTTGGATGACAAAGTTCGGTTTGGGCAGAAATCTCTTGAAAGACCTGGTTCGGGAGCAGGTAGGGCAGCTGGCTTTCCTGAGAGACCTCCTTCTCAATCTGGATCATTTGATGAATCAAGAAGTGTGGAGTTCATGGATAGGCCTCGTTCACGAGGCATGGGAGATGTATGGATGAGGCCTGGAGATGACAGGAGAGGATTTCAGGGTGGCAGGGAAAGGGGGTTTCTGGGTAACAGGGACATAGACAGGTAATTTATTTGTCATGTTCATTTTTATCCTCAATCTGTCTCATCACTAAGGAAGTTGGCCTGTCATGCCACATCTTTATCTGAGATATTTAATCTTTGGAGAATTAATTTTTTTTTTCCATATCATGATTAATAAATAGAATAAATTTCTGACGTTGAATGTTGGTAACCTTTTTGGTAATATCAGAAGTAAAGAAACACATGACTTGAAAGCATTTATTAACAATGTTGAGAGAAATTTGAAATTGATTGGGAGTTATGATTCTGAAATTTCATGTGATTAAGTTTTGTTGAAGTGAAATTGTTTTGAAGCATTGGGAAAAAGTGATAAACTTTGTCATTTATATGAGATAGGATGAAAAGTGAAGTGGGGAAAAAATTGGTGCAAGAAAAATTGAAAATATTGGAGCTTTTAACTAAATGCTTGAGTGACTTTTTGCTTAAATTTCGGAAATCAATAGTTATGATCCTATTCTAGTGTTCCTATAATTATATATTTGAATTCTGAGGATTAAACACTTGATCTGTTATCCTCAATTTCGGTGCTATTGGGGAAGCAATGTGTTATTTATTGAGTAATATTTGTTGTGAATGTGGCAGGCAAAGGTCAAGAGAGAGATGGTGAAGAATTGTTGGGTGTAGATTCATTATCACCTATGCATTTGACAAGCAGAAGATAATAATATTTTGTCTCTCACTTTTTCTTTTTTTTATTTTGAAAATTGTTCTCTTGTTTTTTGCTCTGAAAAATGGAGCTAGGATTATTGAGAACTGTGACCGGGAACTCTTTGCGTTGATCTTAAAACAGTATGTAAAATTGCAAATTTTCCTCTTTTTCTTTTCGTCTGCTCTGGAGCCTGCATTGTTCTTAGGGACTTAAATTTTATTGAACAGTATGGGACTCTCTAGTTTAATTGTTATTATTATTATTATTATATATATTTTTTTCTTCTTGTGGCGGTGGTTGAGTGGTATACAGTTAATCTTATTACATTTCGGATGGGGATGCATTTTTTCTGTTGTTCATGAGGTTTTTGAGTTTTTCCTTTTCTCACAAGGTCTTGAAATCCAAGGACATCTGATTATAGAATTAATTTTTGGATTAAAAACTGAATAATTGATATCTACTGTCGTGATTAAATCGAAGAAACCAAATGAAATGTTTGTGACAAATGACTAGAGTTCGTTTGGTTTTGGAATCACTGATGTTATCAAATAGAATATAACAGGAAGTATAATACTAAACGGTTATAGTAATAGTAGTACTCAAATCAAATGGTCAATTATTTAACAATAACTTTGCATCATTGGTGTAAATAAAAATATTAACTATTTATCTAAAATACTTGTTTCATTCACAACTTTTGATGGTGTAAATAAAAATGTAGATTTTCAACTCAAAATGATTTATTCCTTTTCTTTCAATATATTTTCTTCTCTCTTTTAAAACAAAATACTTTTCTTTTAGATCAAAGTTTTTAGGCCATTATTTTGAAGAGGTTTTATCAATTGTAGAGACAATGAATTTCGTATTTCTTATTATGTTCTTTGTGTTTTCAGATAAAAATATTTAGAAGGTTTTCTCTTTTTACGTTTTCATTTTTCACAATTTTCAATCATTTTCAATATTCTCAAAATACACTACACAAAAACATAAAATTTATAAAAGACTTGGATTTTCATTTGAAATTATGAAATTCTCTCATTATTTAATTTAAAAAACGCCCAGATCCCCCAGTTTGCAGCATACCGGATCCGGATCGTTATCTGGTCTATGAAAATATACCCGTACCCATGTAGTTTACTCATCGGGGGCCATGGTCAAAATCATTGGATTTTCAGCTCACATCTATATCTATTACTATTCTTCAACTTTGAAATCTGTTAATCTTAATCGGCCAAATTGCTTTGTCTTACAGAAAGTCTGAGAAATCTATAACATCCATGGATGGTGTGAGATCTATTGTTAAGAAGAGATGGCAGGGCCACAGGAAGCTGAAAAAGATTAGTGTATTAGTTGCGGTAACTGGCTTTGTTTTAATTGTTTCATTTGCTAATACTTCAAATGATTGTCGGTTTCCAGCAGTTTACAACTTCGGCGATTCCAATTCTGACACTGGCTCCGTCTCAGCTACGTTTGGTAGACTCTCTTCCCCCAATGGCCAAACTTTTTTCGGTAAACCTTCTGGTCGCTATTCTGATGGCCGTCTGCTCATTGATTTTATAGGTAACCCACAACTGCATTTCAATCCCCCATTTTCTTCAACATAAGCCATTGAAATTTACTCAATTAACCTGTTTTTTATGATATTGATGCAGCTGAGAAGCTAGGACTACCCTTCTTGAATTCATACCTTGATGCTTTGCAACCAAATTTCAGACATGGAGCAAATTTTGCTGCCAGTGGTTCTACAGTTCAGCCACTTGATGTTCAATCATTTGAGGCAGGTTTTAACCCATTAACTCTTAATATTCAACTTTCCCAGTTTGAGCAACTTAAAGATCGCACTAATGAGTACAGTCAAGGTTAGTAGTGTCTTAGAGATTTCCAAATGCCTCAAAAGTAAAATAGGATTTCTTCTTCATTCATTAACTTTATGCCTTGTGTGATTTTTTTTTTTTTTTTTTTTTTTAGCAAAAAGCTCAAAGATCAAAAGTAATCTCCCAATGCCAGAGGACTTCACAAAAGCCCTTTACACATTAGATAGTGGACAAAATGATCTTCATTTTTGGCTGACAACGAAGAGGGAGGACCAAGTGAAGCCATCCATCCCTCCTATAATTAATCAGTTTGCTCTTGCCATTGAGGTAATTTAACTTTTAAGACACAACCCCATCCTTCTTAGGGACTAGCCATTTGAGGTACCTAACATTTTTCTTGGCTTTGAAATTGTTACAGAAACTTTATCAAGAAGGGGCAAGAAAATTTTGGATACATAATACTGGTCCCATTGGCTGCTTGCCTTTCATGGTTCTTAAATATCCTCCAAAGCCTGGTGATGCAGACCAAAATGGTTGCATTAAGTCTTACAATGAGATTGCTCAAGAATTCAACAAGCAGCTTAAAGACAGGGTTTACACATTAAGGACCCGACTGCATGATGCACTGCTTATTTATGTGGATATCTATTCTGCCAAATATACTCTAATCAGTGAAGCGAATAAAAATGGTATGTGTTATTTATGTACATTTATAAAGTTGGGGCAAACGCAAAACTTGAGTGAAATTAAATGCAAAATTGGGTATTATATTGCAGGTTTTGTTAGTCCGATTGAGTACTGTTGTGGTGATTCAGGGAATCATGATATCAAATGTTGGGACAAAGGTATAGTGAATGCAACGGATGCGTTATGTAATGATGCTTCAAAATACATTAGCTGGGATAGCGTACATTATACTGAAGCTGCGAACCATTGGATTGCCAACCGCATTGTGGATGGCTCATTCTCAGATCATCCAATTCCCCTTAACAAAGCTTGTGGAAAGCACATTCTCTCACGTTTTTGAGCTCAAATAGGTATCATACATGTTAGTTTGTCTCTCTTTACTCAACTGTATGAACCAGTTTTTCATAACCAGATGTGAAGATGTTGCTATGAATTTTTTTGTTGAAATATAAATTTCTGTTATTAAAAGTTGTGAATTATTTCTATCCAATCCTTAACAATAAGAATCAATAATGTGATTGCCTTCTCTTTTGTTTGTTAAGGATATTAACCTTTAACCAAAAAAATATTGAACGCTTGATGACAAAAATTAGTGGTTTATAATAAATTGTGGTTGAAGTTAAGTAGTCTTGTGTGTTTTATACCAGCATTTGTTTTTTTCTTTTCTTTCTTTTTTTACAATTATGGTCCTCTCATATATTGGGAACAATTTGCTTCTTTTTTATTGTTTTTGAGATTTTCAATATTTTAGTTTTATTTTATGGTTAAATATATGCTATTTTTTTCTATAGAGATATTTATAGTATTTGTATATGGTTGAGGTAATTATTTAGAGATGGCAGCGGGTGAGGACGGGCCCGGGGAATTTTTAACCCCCGGTCCTGCCCCGGAATACAGGGAAAAATCCCCCACCCAACAGTTATTATTATTTTTTTCATTGTTTTATATCTATCTTTCGTGAACTTATCAAAACTCGATGAGATTGATCTTTTATTCTTTGTCAGGTGGTTGCATGTTAACAAGGTAATTGTGTTTAATCCAAATAATAATTATGTATTTGCGAATTATGTGGGCCGATCTACATCAATTCTTGATAGCACCTGAAATTTCTGTTAAATAATTTTTGCATTGAAGTTAAAAGGTTTCATTATTTTATTTTATATTTGGGTTTATTTAACAGAGTAAACGACATTTTCCCACCCAAGGTTTGGCTAATCTGCAAGTTCTCACCTCTGGTTTCATAAATCGCAGATTTCTACCCTTAAATTAACACTGTTATTTTTCTCTCAAAATAACCCTCACATCTCAAATTTCTCTCAAATAACCCCTAGAGGAGATCCCGGCCAAGCCAAAAATCTGGCTTGATTTCGACACCATTAGACCTCCCCGACACCACCATCAGCGTCCCCTTATCCTCCTCATCAAAACCCCTAACTTTTCCACCCGATTGCAGCTCGGTGAGATGCCAGAATTTGCTTGAAAAGGGGCAACAAAACGCGAAAACTTAAGGAAGAGGTAGCGACGATCGGCGGGCAATTGTCATCGGCGATGTTGGGGGTTTTGGTGGGGGGAAGCCGACGATGTTATTGGTGGTCTTGGGAGTGGTTTCGGTATCGGAACTTGCCAAAATTTGGATGAAACACCGATTGACATTAAAAACGATGACTGACTATTAAGGGGTTCAATCAGGCGAGGAGGTTAGGGGTTTGATGTGGGGGTTGAGAGGATTATAATGGTGGTGTCAGAATAGGTCGATTGTGTTAGAAACAGGCCGGAATGGCCTGAAATCGCCGGTGGAGTGAATTTGAGAAGTGAAAGGTTATTTTAAAATTTTTCTAGTGGGGTGAATATGAGAAATAAAGGGTTATTTTGAAATTGTTATCTTTGAAATGACTATTTTACCCTTTTAATTGTTAGATTAAACAGATTTCTGTTAATTTAAAGGTGGGAATCTGCAATTTATAAAACCAGGAGTGGGAACTTGCAGATTCGCCAAACCTTGGGTGGGAAAATGTCGTTTACTCTATCTAACATTACTAATAAAATTAATTGATTTTTTTAGATTTAACACAAATATAAGATAAGAAGACCTTGATTTAGAAAACAAGAGATCTTCAGGATAGAGGAGACTTCCTGTAGATTGTGAATAATGGAGGGTATATATATGAATTTTAATATTTATATAAGAGTTTTATTATTATTTTTACTATTTCTCAAACCAAATGTTACGGGGATGGGACGGGTCATTGGAAATCCGGGGACCATTGCCATCTGTAGGTAATAATCTGTTAAGCTTGACGATAGATAGTGTAAAATGACCATTTTCTTAATAAAAGTTTGTGTCTTTTGGTATGTTTTTAAACTTTTGGCTCCTAAGGGTTCATACCCTTGAAATATAGGATTGAATTAGATTTCATTCTATATTTTAGGGTTAACAACTTAATTCCCCTTTAGGTTTCATAAATAATAGAAGTTCATTTACGGTTAAGTTTTAGATGTTAAAATAAACTTTAGAATGATAATTTAGTAATATTTACAAAGTTATAATAGTGTAAATTTTAACAATTTATTAACAGTAAACTAATGATTGGCGGATTTTTTTTATTTTATCATACCTCAGGGGGTATGTTTAACCCTATATTCTATTCAATAATATTTGATTTGAAAATAAGACTAAATTAGCAAATAATGTTGTAAGAAAACTATTTTGATTTTCATCAAGTATTTAAAAAAAATTTATACATTAGGGAAAAAATTAAATAAATAATAATTAAAAAAAAAAGAGAGAGAGAAAGAAATTAACAAGCAGATGGGAATTTGAAAGGGATACAAATGTCATGCACATATGAATACACAGTGGAAATTGAACTATAGTCTTTAGGGATATGGATTTTTTGCAAGTTACCCATGGTTAGAGATAATAATTTCATGAAATTTTCAAACCGTTCCACACATATAACTCATTAATCATGTCAATCATACGGATAAGGACTCGAATTTCATGGAATGTTATCCACTACCATAAATAATCTTCAAACAAACACTACTATTTAAACACTTGTTAAACGTAATTATAATACTATTATGTGTTCCTTTATTCATTCTAGATTCCAGGATTCACGCCAATAACCTCTGCGGTGCCCTTGATCCTTTTTCCTAACACCTTCAATTCCTTTTTTTTTTTTTTTCAGATGATCTCTGTTTACCCCCAGCGACTGTCGAGATCAATTTCTAGAACGCTCAGGATCTTTGCCATAAACCTGACATCGCTAATATGAAGTCCCAGATGGTATATTTTATTTCCTCAGTTATATTATTATAAAATTGTTGGCCTTTTGATCTTTAAAAAGAACAAATCCATTTACAAATATTAATATTGAAAACTGTTAATTGGATTCACTACTTTAATTTCGATCTTGTGGCAGTTTTTATATACTGACCCTAGTTTACGTGGGGATACTACTGTCTTATACACTTAAAAGTATCAGAGCAGTGTGCGTGAGGATGCGGCTGTACGTTTTTCGTTCTCTGTCACAAACTTTATATATCATATTCTTATGCCAACACCATCACCATCTCAATTATTATTATAGTGCGTATAGATATAGCTAGGGACTTGTTCTATGTATGCTGCCAAAAAGACGTACAAATACAGGTTAGATTTTGTTTTGATTAAACTATACCAAAATGTCAATGCCGGTTGGCTTCGACCTATTGATTTTGTCTGCTGATGCTTTCATTTTAAAGTATTAGTGCTTAAATTGCAGTAGATTAGCTGAAGAACAAGTCAAATTGAGTGTTGGTGCATGTGGTGAGGCCTCTTCTGATTTCTGAGTTAATTTTTTCTATTTGCTTTTGTATATAATTTGTGTAAAGGTGGCAACCAACACTCTCATTCTCTCTTTTTAGAAGGAATATTCATATATACTAGCCTTGACTGATGGTAAAAGAGCAAAAATGAGGTTTTATGAGTTTCTGAGTTTGATTTCTCTTAAGCACTAATAGGAGTGGTCACTGGGACTCTTCTCTAGCTGATAGTTCCACGGCTCCGAAAGATTAGTTAAGGTATGCATAAACTGATTTGGACACCCCCGATGAAACCCAAAAAAAAAAAAAAAAAAAAAAAAAAAAAAAAATTCATATTACTTACGGATCTGTTTTACTGCCAAGAGCATTGTTCAAAAGTTATAGTCAATTTTCTGAAGATTATAATCCATGGAACTGGGTGGTTGGATTGGACCCTTTTCAACATATATTTATGTAAAAGAGATCTTGACGTATGATGAAACCAAAGTATTCAGTATTCTAATATAATACGGAACTTGTTAAACATGTATGTTATCTTTATATATTGTATTTCTTCCGAGTAAGGAGCTAGAAGCAGGAGTCTTTTTCTCAATCTAGATAGCTATGTTTAAGTTTTTTTTTGGTTGAGAATTAGACTTAATATACATTGAGCTTCACATGCAACCTGCCCATTTGTTATATCAGTGGTCACCATTGTCAGAGTAAACGATTCTTGTGTGTAGAAATACTTTATTTAGGTAAGAAGATGGTAGCTGTTAGTGGCTGAAAAACAACAAAAGATTTAGTAGTTAGTAGTTACAGTGAGGAAGGTTCCGTACGTTTAACCTTATATAAAGGGGATTAGATGGTCAAGTGCATTAACAAAAGAAGAAATGGGGAAATTGAGCAAGAGTGAGAGTGTATTAGCAGTGGTGACTGGATCAGTTGTTTTAATTGTTTCATTTGTTACAAGTAGTTCAAGTGCTTGCAGCTTTCCAGCAATTTACAACTTTGGGGATTCTAATTCTGACACTGGCGCTGACTCAGTGACATTTGGTCGACTTCCTTATCCTAACGGCAAGACTTATTTCGGTATACCTTCTGGCAGGAATTGTGATGGACGTCTCATCATTGAATTTATAGGTAATTGGCTAGACATCTAATTCTCATTTAAATACTACTTTATTAAGCATTTGTATATCAAAATCTAAATTGATCCTCCCTCCAAGCAGCCGAGAAATTGGGATTACCTTTGCTGAATTCATATCTTGATTCTTTGCAATCAAATTTCCGACATGGAGCAAACTTTGCTGCTAGTCGAGCTACAATCCAGCAAGTAAATGGTCAGTTATGTGAGGGACGTTATAGCCCCTTATCTCTCGGTATTCAGCTTTTGCAGTTTGAGCAACTTAAAGTCCGCACTAACGAGTTTTACATTCAAGGTTAGAGATAAAAAAAAACCTGAAAATAAAATTAAAGAATCCTCATATATTCCTTCTTCATGCATTAGCCTTTCATCATGCTTTCTGTGTTTTCAGCCAATAGCTCACAAACCAAAGTCAAAAGTGATCTGCCAAGGCCAACAGACTTCTCAAAGGCACTTTACACAATAGATTGTGGACAAAATGATCTTCATTATTTAGTTACAACGATGACGGAGGACCAAGCCAACGCAGCCATCCCCAATATAACTAATCAGTTTGTTCAAATCATAGAGGTAATATCTTCATCTCATCTCAATCTCAACAGAGGGAACTTGCTAGCTAACGATATGAATTTTGCAACTTAACATGCATGGCTCAAATGGTTATTCATTAGAGCATTTCTTTTACCTTTGTTTCACCTCTTGACTTCGGTATTATTACAGAAGCTCTACCAAGAAGGAGCAAGGAAATTTTGGATACATAATACAGGTCCCATTGGGTGCTTGCCACTTATGGTTCTTTACCATCCCAAGTCTGGTGATGTAGACGAAATTGGTTGCGTTAAGTCTTACAATGAGATTGCTCAAGAATTCAACAAGCAGCTTAAATACAGGATTTACCAACTAAGTTGCCAACTTCAGGGAGTGGAGCTTATTTCTGTCGATATCTATTCAGCTAAGTACACTTTAATTAGAGAAGCAACTAACTACGGTATGTATATACTCTTTAGATACATCAAGCTAGTTAATTAGAGCTCATCATTTTATAAGATAAATTGGTTAATTATTTCAGGTTTTGTAAATCCTTTTGAGTATTGTTGTGGGAATGATAATTACAAATGTTGGGAGAGATCGGCAACAAATATTAGTGCATGCAATGATCCATCAAAATACATTAGTTGGGATAGCCTGCATTATACTGAAGCTGCAAACTATTGGATAGCAAGCCGCATTGTGAATGGCTCATTTTCAGATCCTCCGATTTCCCTCGAGAAAGCATGTTGAGATCCTCGTGAAAAATCATGATTCATGAGTTATGAGTTTTTTTTTTTTTTTTTTTTTTATAAATGGGTTTTAAATTTAAAGATGAAATTCCTAGATTTTGATGTAGGTTTTGATTTAATCTTTTTTATGTTGACGTATGAGGTTTTAAGTTGGGTTTGATAAATTTTGGTTAATTGTTGAGTTAATTTTGAATAGGTTTAAAGAATTGATGAAACCCTAAGTTATAGTGATTTGGAGATTTGATTTAATTTTAATATATTGATTAATTACTTGATATTTAGAACTGGATTTGATGAGTTTTCATAAGTTTGTGAGTTGAATTTTATTAGATAAGTAGAAATTGTTTGAAAAGTCTAAGTTATAAGATTTGAGGCTTCGGTTTATAATTGATGATTTGATCCCATTGACTAAAAATCTAGCTACGTCCCAATGTCAAAATTAGAATAACAATAGAAAAAAAAAAATTAAACTAAAATACTAAGCACTAAACATTTGTTTTGAGTTTAATGCACTTTACTGTTTACTCCTGAGGTTCCTTAATTAAAATGTTCCCCCTCAGGTATCAAAAATGATGATTTACCCTTTTTTGTTGTTATTCTGTTAAGTTTTTCACTAACTGGTTAATACATTTCAGATTTAATTCATTAAATTAAATATTAAAGCCCTAACAAGATACTGGCAACAAGGGGTAAATTGTTATTCATGATACCTAAGTGAGAATTTTTTTTTTTTTTTTTTTTTTAACGATATGCACAAATTTGAGCTAATTAGTGACTTAAAATCTCTTCTGATGCAATTTGTGAATGTGAACAATCATGAGCAAGTAGTAAGTATGAACAAGTAAAGTAATTGCACAAAATACAAAGTAAAGAGATAGGGAAGAGAAAATCAAACTTGCAATATATACTGGTTTGACCCAAATCCCGCCCAAGCTATCCCCTTTGGAGTATTCCACTATCTTATTTAGTCTTCAACCAAGACCAAGAATTTTTTCATACAAGTTGGCTTCCAAGGTGCAACTAAACCTTTACACAATAGTTCAACCCAATTGACTTCAAAGTGTCAATTAGACCTTTCTCAATCATTAGGACTTACTTTCTCTCATTAGAAAAGCCTAAAGCCCCTAAGAGTGAAATCCACTCTTTTACAATTTGAAATTTAATTTAATGCAACATTGAAAACTTTCTTAATAGAGTGAATGAACAAGTTTTTAGCCCAATACAACCCAATCTACAAAGTATACAGTGATGGTGTAGCAAGTGTTTAAGGTTTGAATGAGAAATTTGCAAGTGAAAGCACTTTGAATGATTGAATACTTTTGGTTTGATGTTTTCGCAAGTTTAGAGTGATTAAAATTAATTCCATGGGATTTGGTTGGGTTTATATAGAAAATCCTCATTAAAAAAAAAAAAAAAAAAGTTATGCACTAAATGAATTTTCCAACTCGCATCATTTAGTTGACCTAATGGTTTATTTGGTCGTCCTATTGCTCAAGTGTCACTAGCTATTATAACTCTCTAATGACATTAGGTCGACCTAATAGTGCATTCAATCGTCTTAACAGGCTATTTGGTCGACCTAATAGTTATTCTTTTAATAAGACATTTTGTAATACTTCTGTCCATATTGAACAACCATTAAATGGGTCAAACTGCAAGATTTTAAAATATGATATTTTAGACAATAATTAAAAATCAATAATAGGAACCCTATTCAGTTGACCCAATGGGTTAATCAATGAAAATTTAAAACTTATTTTTTAACCTGTTTAGTTTGAAAAATGACATTTAGACCCCAATTTGAAAAACCACCCAAAAACAACTATCTGGGAGCTTTAATATGTAATTCAATTTTTATAACCAAGGCCCATGCTTTTACAAGTAAAAATGATTACAATGAAATATACATAGACTAAGCTTTCTTGAATTCCTCAAAATTCTTCATCCAAGCTTTGCCTTTTTCCCTTCTTGATAAATCTTTGAGTGCATTGAGAAATTTTCTTGCCATCTAAGTTCACACTTGAGTAAGTGTCATTAGCAAACATGCTTAAGGGCATATTAGTTTATTATTATTATTAAAATAAGAGCATAATGACTCCTTGAGTCAACACCTCTAAATAGCATAAGATTAACATTAAAATTATATCCAAAATATAAACATCAAGTGGAGAATAGTGTCATGGATAAGAAAATCTTCCAAATAAAGCTCAACAAAGGCTTAATCTCTAGGGCTTACTTAAATAACCCAAGCTATTCTTAAGTTTCCCCAAATTAGAGATTTTGAATCTATCTCTTACTATAATATTTGATTTTGGTTTCGCTTGAAGTATCGGTACGATATCTAACATTACTAATAAAATTAATTGATTTTTTTAGATTTTACACAAATATAAGATAAGAAGACCGATTTAGAAAATAAGAGATCTTCATGATAGATGAGATTTCCGTAGATTGTGAATAATGGAGGGGATATATATATAAGAATTAAGGGGATGATTTTTAATATTTATATAAGAGTTTTATTATTATTTTACTATTCTCAAACCAAATGTTACGGGGATGGGACGGGTCATTGGAAATTCGGGGACCATTACCATCTAGGTAATACTCTATTAAGCTTGATGATAGATAGTGTAAAATGACCTTTTCTTAATAAACTTTGTGTCTTTGGATGTTTTTAAACTTTTGGTCAAAGGGTTCTACCCTTGAAATATAGGATTGAATTAGATTTCATTCTACATTTAGGGTTAATAACTTAATTCCCCTTACGTTTCAGAAATAATAAAAGTTCATCTGCTGTTAGTTTTAGATGTTAAATAAATTTAGAAGGATAATTTGGTAATATTTACAAAATAACAGTATAAATTAACAATTATTAACAGTAACTAACTAATGGAGGATTTTTTTATTTTATCATACGTCAGGGTGTATGTTTAATCCTATATTCTATTCAATAATATTTGATTTGAAAATAAGACTAAATTAGCAAATAATGTTGTAAGAAAATTATTTTGATTTTCATCAAGTATTTTTAAAAAAATTATACATTAGGGAAAAAATTAAATAAAATAATATTAACAAGAGAGAGAGAGAGAGAAAGAAATTAACAAGCAGATGGGAATTTGAAGGGATACAAATGTCATGCACATATGAATACACAGTGGAAATTGATCTATAGTCTCTAGGGATATGGATTATTATCCCGAGAAAGTTACCCAGGTTAGAGATAACAATTTCATGAAATTTCAAACCGTTCCACCATAAACTCATTAATCATGTCAATCATACTCGATGGTATCCACTACCATAAATATCTTCAAACAAACACTACTATTTAAACACTGTTAAACGTAATTAAATACTATTATGTGTCCTTATTCATTCTAGATTCCAGGATTCACGCCAATAACCTCGCGGTGCCTGATCCTTTTCTAACAACTCAATTCCTTTTTTTCAGATGATCTTGTACCCCATCGACTGTCGAGATCAATTTCTAGAACGCTCAGGATCTTTTCCATAAACCTGAAATCGCTAATATGAAGTCCCAGATGGTATATTTTATTTCCTCAGTTATATTATTAAAAATTGTGGCCTTTTGATCTTTAAAAAGAACAAATCCATTTACACAATATTAATATTAAACTATTAATTGGATTACCACTTTTATTCGATTTGCAGTTTTATATACTGACCCTAGTTTACGTGGGGATACTACTGTCTTATACACTTAAAAGTATCAGAGCAGTGTGCGTGAGGATGCGGCTGTACGTTTTGTTCTCTGTCACAAACTTATATATCATATTCTTATGCCAACACCATCACCATCTCAATATATATATGTGCGTATAGATAAGCTAGGGACTTGTTCTATGTATGCTGCCAAAAAGACGTACAAATACAGGTTGATTGTTTTGATTAAACTATACCAAAATGTCAATGCCGGTTGGCTTCGACCTATTGATTTTGTCTGTGATGCTTTCATTTTAAAGTATTAGTGCTTAAATTGCAGTAGATTAGCTGAAACAAGTCAAATTGAGTGTTGGTGCATGTGGTGAGGCCTCTTCTGTTTCTGAGTTAATTTTTCTATTTGCTTTTGTATTAATTTGTGTAAAGGGGCAACCAACACTCTCATTCTCTCTTTTTAGAAGGAATATTCATATATAATAGCCTTGACTGATGGTAAAAGAGCAAAAATGAGGTTTATGAGTTTCTGAGTTGATTTCTCTTAAGCACTAATAGGAGTGGTCACTGGGACTCTTCTTCAGCTGATAGTTCCACGGCTCCGAAAGATTAGTTAAGGTATGCATAACTGATTTGGACACCCCGATGAAACCCAAAAAAAAAAAAAAAAAAAAAAAAAAAAAAAAAAAATTCATATACTTACGGATCTGTTTTACTGCCAAAGAGCATTGTTCAAAAGTTATAGTCAATTTTCTGAAGATTATAATCCATGAACTGGGTGGTTGGATTGGACCCTTTTCAACAATTATGTAAAGAGATCTTGACGTATGATGAAACACGTATCAGTATTCTAATATAGGTAATGACTGAACTTGTTAAACATGTAGATTATCTTTATATATGTATTCTCTTCGAGTAAGGAGTAGAAAGCAGGAGGATCTTTTTCTAATCTAGATAGCTATGTTTAAGTTTTTTTTGGTTGAGAATTAGATAAAACATTGAGCTTCACATGCAACCTGCAATTTGTTATATCAGTGGTCACCATGTCAGAGTAAACGATCTTGTGGTAGAAATACTTTATTAGGTAAGAAGATGGTAGCTGTTAGTGGCTGAAAACAAACAAAAGATTTAGTATAGTAGGTACAGTGAGGAAGGTTCCGTACGTTTAACCTATATAAGGGGATTAGTGGTCAAGTGCATTACAAAAGAAGAAATGGGGAAATTGAGCAAGAGGAGAGTGTATTAGCAGTGGTGACTGGATCAGTGTTTTTAATGTTTCATTTGTTACAAGTAGTTCAAGTGCTTGCAGCTTTCCAGCAAT